ACAAGCCAAATCTAACACCCTCTTTCGAAAAGGTTACTTATCGTACGTTACGCAAGGTTTAGAATTTTGGAGCGACAGAGTCGCAATCTTCCGAACCGAACACCATCAAAGATGATGTTTAAGAAAATTTCAATTACGTCATAAATTGCATATTCGAATTCTCAATAAAATTTTTAAGCACCTTGCAAATCACATCAAGATTGACGCCTGAGAGCACCCTATAACCAGTTATTTATTTTTTAATGTATAGTTTTCTTTACAGTAATTATGAATTTTATAGTCTAAAATCAAAAATCGAGGCATTTTATATAATTACCTTATATGGGAGCGCGTTATTTCGGGACGCGCATACGCATTATTTTGAGATATATATGCTATTTTCAGGAATCACGATTTTCGAAATAACGCTCATGAGCGTTATTACGCGAAAATACGGTAGTAATTATAATTATAATTTTTTTATTATTACCATTTAAAACTAATAAATCCATACGTAAAGCTACAGCCTTATAAAAATATCATTTTATTACGACGTACTTAAATTTAAAAATGGGTACCAAATTCTTCGCTACGAAATTAAATTATGGCCTTTGGCAATTTCAATTCATCTGTCTTGTAAAAGATCCGAAGAAAATATATTGAAACATTTTAATAAAAGTTTATGTAAAAAGCTAATAAAAATGTAAATACGAAACCTTTTAATTGACATTTGACTTACATCTAATTTCTTTCATAAATAATACGTATGGCAGTACTTTCAATTTTAACTTCTGTAACCTTTCTAACATCCCACAAACGCATCCTATGTGTTGACAATTCAAAATTCAAAATCAGGGTGTAATATAAATAATACAGTAAGACTTTTTTTTCTACGGCTTAATTAAAGTGTTCCTCATAGAATTATACTAATAGATATCAAACTGACCTACTCCTAACCCTAGCTGTGACACGGTTTTGTTATCGCAGAGAAGCTCAATTTTTGTGGATGCATACCTAAGATTTCATCTTATCAGATTTAGTAAAATTGATACCGAAATTATTGAATAATAAGGTGCTCCTTTCAGGAAAAAAATACTTTTACGAAGAATTGCATACCCCTTATTTTGTCAACATTCATTTCTAAATCTAGCTAGCGATTTCTTGATTACCGCTACTGTATCGCTATTTACTTTTTCCAGGTCTACTTTCCCATATATGTTCATGCAGTGCAATAGATTTTCTGTATTTATAAGCAACATTTGCTAAGCATGACTGTTTATGTTGGTTTGTATCATCTTTTATACATCTAATAAAGTAAATTTGAATTTTGCATTTTTTATACTAGATTACATGTACAAGTCACCGATTTAGAAATGATCCAGGTCAATTTGGAATCGATCTAAATCATGAAACGACTTAGAACTCTTGTACATTTACTTATTTGTGCCGGCTAAAGCCAGGTACGTTTATATGATTTTGATTATTTAATTAAAATTTGAGCAGACGTTTTTCACTTTTTTGCTGATCGGGAAAACCAAAATTGTACAATTTGATTGGCTGTTGATCATATGAACGCGACTGGCTTTAGACGACCCAAAAATAATTTTTAAATTTGTAAATAAAGTACGTAAAAACCCCCAAATTTAGGGTTAGGACGTTAACTTTAGAAACTAAGCCACAGATTGTTGTCTATTGTGTGTAAAATTTCGTTCTAATTAGTGCATCAAGGTGATTTAGATTCTATTTTAGCCTTTTTCTTCTTTTGCTTGTTCGGAATTCATGTGCCGATCCGGAACGATCAAAATTTAAACTCATTGATTGGCTGTTTCCCTTTTAGGAGTTTATATTAACGGGAAAAATTTTTTTTTTCAATAACAAATAGAAATATTCAAAAATGTATCTTTTCATCGCTTTTTGACCTCTTTATATGTACATGTCACCTTGCCAGTTGATTTTTATTTTTCGTCAAATTTGATAATCGGTGATTGTCAAAGACTGTAACGATAAGTTATATCAATGTGCCTATAAATTTTGAACCTATAATACAATGCGATCAACATTTATTTAAACAAAATGTAGTGATAGTAATTACTGAACGATGCAAAGCAAGCTTGAAATGAGGCCGAAAGTTATTGCGTTAGTTATTTTCAAAATTAACTTTATATATTCGTGCACTATTTATTTGAGAAAACTTTAATACTGCCTTGCATAATTTTCTAGCTAAAACTGGATGGCAAAGCCGCCTGTATATATTAGTTCTAATATCTATGTTTAAATTGTATCTATATTGTTGTGAATCTTAATTAAAACTTTAAGTTTACAACATGAAACTACTTTGAAATGTGGTGAAAAGATGTGTAATACGAATAGTAGTGGTGTATGGTTTAGTAAAGTAGTAGAGTATAATACATTAAAATAGAAACACGTGAGTATGGATGATTAGGTCACAACTGAGTTTATAAAGTAATATATCATGTATAATATGCAAATGTATATAAAATTTATGCAAACATAACGTTAGACTTCGGGTTTTAAAACTTATAAAATCGGGGCAGCAAATCCGGTGTCATAATGATAATCCGAACTGTCATGAAAGTTAACTGTATAGATTCATATGCCGGAAAAAAATAAAGATAGCCATATGTATAAATACAAGAAAACAACATATTCACTCTATAGTGACGTTCCTACTACACCTATAGGCTCGAAAATACTAGACTCAAAATATTATAATTAATTCAATTATATCAAGAGTTCACTCTGACAAAGGTGAGCTGTATTTGGATACTGGTTCTTTTCGTTATTTAACTCGCGAGTATATTTTTAGATCTCTACAACCTTTTATGGCTTAGTTTTAGTTATTTATTTGTGTTAATTTGGGTCATGGCTTAAGGGATTGGTTCATGATTGAAGGGAGATTCGTTTATAAATCCAGTTACAGCGAAACTTTATTATAACGGCTTTATGAACTTTGAAAAGTTTAAATTTATATTATTGAGTTCGCAACATGTAGATTTGTATAATTAATAATTCAATATCATTTGAATAATTTAGTTCATGTTTACTGTTCATTTTAAATCTGATCAATATTATTAGAAGTTTTTCCTCCTACTGAATAATTGACTATGAGGGCATTAATTGCAACTATTTGAACCTAATTAATTGATTTCACAGAAAGCCAATTAATTGCGATTTTTGCAGTTGTTTGAAAAATGTAATGACTTGATAAAATATGTAATAATAAAAATAAGTATTGGATATTAATATCCGGATAATCCAACAGATATCCAGATGATTATCCGGATATTAATAGTAACCAGATATCCAAATATATTCGGATATTGAATATCCGATGGATAAATGGATAAACGGATAATGGATTGGAACTCTAGTTTCAATGAATATCAAAGTTCTAAACAAATGTTACATAAATGCTTTTTTAGACCTTCAAATGACGGCATACATTAGTGTAATTTATATTCTTCCAGTCATAATCGATAATGTTCTTCTAGGTCATAGCTGATATCAGAAAGTTGCTTTTTTTAGATGGCGGGAATTAATGCAATTTATGTTCTTCCAGATCACAGTCGATAATCAAAAAGATGCAATCTTTTTAGACCTCCAAATGATGATAACATTCTTTCGGCGATGCCTTTTTCAGACCTTCAAACGATGGAAATTATTAAATGCGATTTTTGCAGTAAACTCCACTACTTTATTAAACCATACACCATTACTATTCGTAATATCGTGAAAAGGTATAAGCTTCGATCGACAGATTAATCACTAAATGGGTGCTGCCAAGTGAAAACCTGACATTCTATAAATAAATTTATACGGGCAACTGAATACGGTACTGTGAGCAAAAAAAAAACCAGTGTAATTCATTATTATAGTCTGATTAGTTAAAAACCCCGCATCCCGTTGTCCATAGAAATCTATTTTTAGAATGTCAGGTTTTCACTTGGCGGCACTCAAATTATATTTATTTCATATAATGTACCTTAATGGTTTTATTAACTTGGTTTCCATTTGTTCAAATGGTTAGCGTCAACTATATTTAACGATACAAATCGCGATCATTCTGGACGGAAAAGAGAACAATATAACAAATGGAACAATTGGAAGTATAAGACTACCTTGATACTCTAACAAAAAATGTCTAGAATGCAATTTTATATAGCATACATATAGTAATTAAATAAGTATAAATATAATGCACTTTTCTGTTGTTTTTAATATTTTGCTAATATAATACTAAATCTCAAAATGGTTCTTTTAACAACCTGCTCGCCGTCCTTTTTCATTATATTCATGTGTTTTGTTCTTGTGATTTTCGCAGATATTGATATAATGATCCCACCAACATCTTTTTCAAATTATAATAATCTAGAAACTTATTGGAATTATCTTTATCCGTTCGTATTTTTTACATACCTGATATTTTCTAATTTCCCTTATACTTAATCATTAGAATACTGAATTTTACCTTTTTTTCGTAGGTGGGGTAGTCATCATAATGGTGCAGCTCTGATGCTAGGCAATTCCTCTTACCATCAAAATATTTACTTAAAGAATTCAGTTTTGAAACTTAAAGCAATTAGGAAAAATATTAGATTAAAGAAATTGTCATTCCATTATCTATCTGGTGCTATCCATGCCAAAAATCATCTTGAAGTTAATGATCAATTTCCATATTATGTTTTATGTAGTGATTTTATAGCACCTATGATTCCAGGAGCTTGGCCAGGTATTTTATTTTGATAATTTAATTTTAAAATCAATATAAATAAATGTCTTTACTCTGACTCAATGTTATCCAATTCTAATTGTGTATTTTTTTTTCTCGCCACAGCATTCTGGTTAACTAGTGCGACCTCTTGGCCTCCCGAAGTTGACATGCTTGAATTCAAAGGCGACAAAAATAATAATTTTAATATTTTCATCAATAAAACAAAATCCGTTTATAGTAATAAAGTTCCTATCACCCGCCCTAATGATTGGAATACTTACTGTATCTCTATGAAGAAAGTAAATGATACAGATGTCAAAGTAACATTTTCTCTTAATAATCATAATAGTATAACGCATACAGCCTCTGGATATGTCGGAAAACAATTTTGGTTAATTATTAACTTGCAGATGGAAGGAAGCTCAGGGTTAAGTGGTCCACATAATGATACGTTCTTCCTCGCTCGTAATCTTTATGTTATAAGTAACTATTAATCTTATTATTAAAATAATTTATATTTTTAATTTGTATGTGCTGATAAAACATTTTACTTAATTTTTTTTTGTTTTTAGGAGAGAAAGTTTATTAAGGAATATATATTCGATTAAGGTGTCATTAATTAAAACTACATTAGTATTATTAACGATTTGTTATTGCCAATTTTTATCAGCGAAGTTACTAAATATATAAATATATATATAAATGTTCTCGTTACATGTAACATCCTCATATTACCAATAATGTAGTTAGGGACATTGTGCTAATTGAGTTGTTAAAATAAGTGCGTAACAGGTTGTTACAATTAGATTTATCCATATACTGTATATATGTTTTATAGTTAACCGCACAGTATTATAAATATCATATTTCATTTTTAATTTTTTTCTCAATTGAAACTCTTCGTATTAACTATTATTTAAAAGTTACGCATTATTATTATTATTTTTTTTTGGTAAAGCTTTTATTAAAATTTCGGTTTATGTGATTAGGATGTAAATTTTTCGGGTTAATAAATGGAATTTAAATATTTTATAATAAAGAATGTCTAAAATTATTTTATAGGAATCTTCTTAAATAAGTTAAACTAATTTGAAAATTTACAAAATTACTATTCTGGAGATTTATATACATTTGTGAACCAGATTAGTGATGAGATCCGAAATCCATCTCAAAATCAAAATTCGATCCTAAACGGATAACAGAGATATTTCGTGTTTTTCAAGTTTAGGTTTATTACATTCACAAACTCCTTTCATTTTTTTTCCGTTCTTTTATTTTTTAAATATCTTTTACTTTTCGTCCGGTTTTAAAATTTTGTTACATCGTTTGAAAGAGTAACAATAAAAAAAAAAATCCTGTAATTAAAAAAATGTGAAGGCCCTGAAACTTCTATTGTTTCATAGACTTAAATTCAAGCTTTAATTTACAATAACTGATGACTGTTTAGTTGATCCCGTATCATTCTCACATATTATCTTCTTATAGTTACATTATGTTTGAAATTTTTATTATTTATAGAAGCGTTTTATTTAAAATTTATACGTATGCATATTATTATGTATCATTAAGATAAAAAAAGCTTAATTTAAAACTAAGGAAAAAATCTTAAAAACATATAATAATATAAAAAAATCAAATAAGAAAAAAAATAATAATACAAATATACTCTCTCTAAATGCACACCCTCTCTAAATGCACATGTTTAAAATTTTTGCTTGTAGTCTGAAGGGGGTGCATTTATGGTGGGTTGACTATAAAGTGAAATAAGGTAATAAATGCCAAATAAAACCAATAATAAGAACAATAAAGAATTGCAATTTTTTCCAATTCAGAAACAGTAACCCCTAAGCTCTTAAATTATAAATGACATCAAATTTCTACTATTAAAGGAAATCGTTATTTCTAAAGGCTTTAAAATTTATTAATTTAAAAAATATCGATTTCATATTCTTTGTAGTACTTTTCTACCATGAGGCTCGAATTATTGCTATTTTTCGTATACTTTATATATGATTCATGCCCGATTAACTCTAACTCTACTTCTTTGTCGTATTTTTTTAATTCACTAAAAACTAGTATGATTAGTAGGTTCAAGTTTTATTTTCCACATAGTATAAAGGCTAAGCGTTGGTTCTCCCTCCTTAATTTTATTATATACTTTACTTCTTCTACTGTAAGCGGTTTGCTTCTTTCATCCTTCATTTTCAAAACAATAAGAAATAACTTGTTCGTCACTTATTATTATCTCCATATCTATAATATGAGTTGCCTATTCAACGTCAAAGTATTCAAGCTCACGATAAATATTATCTTGTAATTGATTTGAATCTAATACCTATTGTTGTGTGGCAAATCGGCGAGTCTGTCGCTAATTCTTTCCGATCCTCGTGTAACCTACGGTGGCTAAGTCGAAATAGGCGCGTTAGATTTGGCAGGGTGGTTTATCCGTAGGTAAGTACTACTTTTCTTCTCTTCTAAGTCTTTCCTTCAACCTATTCTTCTATTAACCTCTGCTTCCTCTTATCTTCTTTCTTCTTCCTTAACCTGGGACTACGATACGTCGAATCGGGGTTGGAGTCCTTCTCTTCGTTTAACGGCTCGGTCACGTGATTTACGGCGAACGATCTAAAGGCGGTTTTAATGGATTACCAATAAGCGAACGATAGTTGACTACGACGCTTTTAACCATAGTTTTAGTTTTGGCGGGATTATAGTTTATTTTCAATATGGGTTCGATACTATAAGTTTATTTAAGCAAAATGTATTCACTTGGGGGTATCGCTTGTTACTTTCCCCCTGGGCGGAAAGCCCTTTATTTATAATAAAACTTTTATTTACATTTGAGGATTATTTCCTCTACATTATCTATTTACAATACTTCGTCCCTAAAATCCCTTTCCCAACCATAATAACCAAAAACCTAATGCCCCCTATACCGTCGTTCTACCCAAAGTAACTAAAGTAATAAAAGTAAGAAAAGTAAGATTTCTCTTACTTTTCATGTGACCAGTTACTCGGGTAGGCGATGGGACCTAATTTCGACGATCGGTCACGTGAGGCCGTGACCGATTTCGAGGCTCACATTAGATATAATTGATTTATTCCCGGTTCTTATTAATACTTCCGTACTATTTTTTCATAGTTATTGTCCGGATTTCAGATTCGGGCTGATCCAGGATTTTAATTGGCAATTTTTTAGATCGTAACACATACAAACAAAGCCAGATACTTTTTTTAACAATAATTTTAATAACTTTCAATTCATAAAAGCTATACTAGTACGATAATATGAAATATGAGGGATGGTTTAAATCAACTTTTCCGCCCCCTATATTTTTCCTATTTTAGTAAGACTATGGTTGAAAAATCATTTTTTAGTATAAATAATGGTTTTCATTTATCCAAACCCAGTAGGAGTTAAGATAATACTGACACGGCATATTCACATGCCATCATATTGGTGTGGAAAAAATATGAGTGCTGTGGAATCTGGATGGGTCCAGATGGATCCTGACTGCTTGGGAGCCATATCCCAATTAGGAAAAGATCGATCGCATCTGTCACATTTGTCGCATCTGTCGTATATGACTGATAGGTTGCATCAGTCACATTGGTCGCATATGATGGATATGATGGATAGCAATGATCGGTCAAAATGGGTTTTAGGAAGCATCAGTCATATGCATCACAGAATGTAAATAGAAATAGATAATTATAAATAAAGGCCGAAAGGCCTTTTAGAAATGATAACTTCTCCTTATTGAATACAAAATACATAATACATTGCTTAAACATTGATAGTAAAATTGCTTGTAAATTGAATATCTTTATTAAACAATAATTGTCATTGCTATATTATATAATCTGTCCCTAACTATAAGGTATAAAAAGTATGTTCACATATCTTAAATAACCAACTCTGAATCACTCTATGATTAAGAAAACCCTATCCAAAATCTAGTTAACCACTTGTCAAATCTAATACACTTCTTTTGATCCAATTTATTAATCCTAAAGGTTATATAAGAAATCCAACAGATTAATAACTGACTTGCCATTTTATGATTACAATTTGGTGATGACTATGAGGTCCAAAACAACAATTACTCACCTCTCAATAGAAGAAGCAAATGAATAACAGTTATAATAAAGAAATATGCAATAAAAAGAAGTACTAAAATTAGAACAGATATAAAACTACTTTTCTGATATCCATAAAACTGTTTTAATCATAAATAAGAACAAATTAAAAAGCTATTGGACTCTCTAACCACTTCATTTATCAGAATTGTTATGATAATAGCAAATTCAAAGAATAACCCTAAGGATAGATAAGAATTGACACATATTAAAATTAAACCCTTCTGTAGAAATGATGATAAAGACCTGATTAAATTGTTAGAAACATTCCTAAGAGTCTTGGTGGCCAACAATTAGACTAAGAAAGAATATTGAAGATTGCATCTGAGTATCTCAAGGGTCTTGGCATTGATTGGCATAAGGAAAAGAAGGATGAACTGAAGGATTGGAAGAATGAAAATGATGAAAAGGAAAGCTTCTATTACAGTTTCATTGATTTATTTATAACTCTAGAGAAGTGCCATAGGTGGCAAATCAAACTCAACAACCTTCAGCAAAGAAAGAATAAGAAGGTTGATATCTATGTTACTAGATTCAAACTATTCATAAAGAGAGTTGATCCAGATGATGACCTCCCTGATACATATATAATCTGGATGTTTCTAAATGGATTAAGAGAAAAAACTGCAATGTTTATAATTATTTCGGAATCAGAAAACCTAGAGAAGACAATTATAAGTGCAAGAAGAGTAGAAGTAGATGAATATTATAGAAAGCAAACTATTAAGAAAAACTAGCATAAATTGATCAAAGAGGAATTAGAGAATCTATCTATAAAAATAAAGAAGATAGCCCTCAATTATGCTGTCTTCACCTATAGAAACCGGAAATCCTGACCAAAAAAAAATGTTAAAGACTATGTGAGGATAAAACAGAGAATCCACATGATAATGATAGATGAATAAAAGAAATCATCAGTTACAATTGTGATGAGGCAGACATATTGTCTAGAAATGTTTATTGAAAAGGAAACCTAAAAGAAATGTTGAAGAAATAAGAAAAGTTAATAACTACACAGAAAAACTTAATCAGTATACAGATAATGATGATGAATGGTATGAAGATGAGGTGTATGTTGTGGATAAAAGATGATCACAACCCAGTAATAGTGACACAACTCAAGAAAAAAGAGTGCAAGTACAACTAGGTGAATGCTAGAAGAAATGACTAAGACCTTGAGAAGCCAATAAATATTCTCTAATGGACTTGGAGGAAAAACTCGACTACATGAAAGATAATATATTTGTTCTAAAAAGAAGATCTCAATACAAGAGAGACCCATCAATTATTGATACCTTGACTCTGTATAATATAGCTAATGATATTTTGTCGATGCCGACTAACGCTACTATAGGTCAAATGCTTCAGTATTTAAACCAGTGATAAAACTTGGTCAAAATTTTGCACAGACCTCTATCCTCGATTCAAGAAGCTACCCATATTAAATTCAATGACAACAAATGAACCACTGTCACTCATTGCTATATGAGGATAAAGGAAAACCCAGTTATAGTAGTACTTGACTCTAGAGCTACTATAAGCATAATGATAAAAAAGTTAGTCGATAAGCTAGGTTTAAAAATTTAAGAAAAGTCCTCCACTGTAGTCATTACAGCAACTAGTACCAAAACCTGTGTTTTAGAAAAAATCAACAATGTAAAAATCACCCTTCAAGAGGTAGTAATATCCAGCACTCTCCAAGTAATTGAGTCGATAGACAAAACACTGCTTTTAGAAACTAATTGGTTCTTAAAAGCACAAGCCCAGTTATATTTTGACAAAAGGTAACTCTACTTAAGATATTATGGTCAAATGGTTGAAGTTCTGATATCTTATTCTGGCAATGAAGACCTTCAAGACCAACTAGAAGGGATGATAAGAGCAAAAGTGAAGAGACTTTTGACAAATTCACCTACGAGGACAAAAATCTGTTGAAAATGTAGAGTTATTATAAGGAGGAATCAGTGATTAAAGAAGGGGGGTTATATAATAACCTATAGGCAGATGCTAAAAGCCCAGCCATTTACTTAACTGTTATAGAAGTCACCCTTATCCAGGATTCAGGACCCTCAAAATGTGGTATTAATGAATACTTGAAGGAATTTGCCCAAATAAAAGAATTAGATAACCAACAACAGGAATAAGCTTGGAAATTCTTTTATCAAGAGAAAGGACTCTTTGCATAAGATATAAAAGAACTGAAAAAAATCTTAGTACTAATGCACATGATTGATACTAGAGATGCCAAAACTATAAAGCAAAACCTGTATTGCATCACTTCTAACGAACAAGAATTTGTCAAAAGGAAGCTAAAAGATATAGAGAAAAGAAGCTTAATCATATGATCTAATAGTCTCTAGGCCTTTCCCAGTTGTAATAGTACCTAAGAAGGATGGAAAATTAAGAATTTGCATGATTACCACTAGGTAAATGCTGTTACGAGAAATGATACTTATTTCTTTCTATAAATTGACAACTTGTTAGAAAAATTCTGAAACACAAAGTGGTTCTCAAGTCTGAATCTGAAAAGTAAATATTGGCAGATTAGGATGGACTAGAAAGACAAAAAAAAGATTATCTTAATCATTAAGACAGAACTGTATGAATTTACAGTTATGCTGTTTGGCTGTGTAATGCCTTCCAATGTTTCAAAGGCTAATAAATCGAGTCCTGGCAGAATACTTGGGAAAATTCATTGTAGTATACAAAGATGACATCAATATATACTCTAAGATGTTCAAAAAACATCTGGTGCACCTATGAAAGGTATTCAAGAAGTTGGATAAAGCCAGATTAAAAATTAATATATAAAAATACAAGTTTTTCCAACCAGAAATCCAGTTCTTGAGGCATGTAGTCAGAAGAGATGGGATTTGACCTGATGAATTCAAGATAGAAAAAGTAAAATATTCCCTATTCCTAGGATGATATGGCAGTTAAGGCTGTTCATAGGCTTAGCCTTCTATTATTAATAGTTTATCAAAAGATTTACCTCTATAACCAGATCCCTATATATGCTACTACAAAAAGATATCAAATATGAGTAGAGAGTAGAACAAAATGACACTTTTAAACACTTAAGAACTATTTGATTACCACCTCGATACTACAATACCCAAACTTTAATTGAATGTTTCACCTCTATACCAATGCTTTAAGAATAGGATTGGGCACTGTATTAATCTAAAAAGAAGGAAGAAGGAAGTATATAATTTTTTATACAAGTCAAAATCTGACTTGAGCTAAAAGAAACTATTCAACTACCAAACAAGAATACTTGGTGGTACTTTGAGAAATCAAGCACTATACCACTATTTTGTATTCACATCATTCATGGTAGTAACAGACCATTTGGCATTAAAGTGGCTCCAAACCTTCAAGCTTAAAGGAAGAAGGGCTAGATGGATTCTTTGGTTTCAACTGTATAACTACACTATCGAGCATCAGTTAAAGAGAGTTCATAGTAATGCTGATACTCTACTATGACATTTAGAATTCATAAAGTTAACCCCTAAAGAGACAAATGATAATGATCTGGCTGCTCTAAAGTGGCTTTAAGCATAGATAGAGTAAGAATACCAACCTACTTATAAAGAAGTAGAAGTATGCCAAATGGATGTTGATGACCTCACAGATGATGAAATGAGTTGGAATGGGTACATAAACAGTAGTGAAATAAAATAGGATGATTATGAAGAATCAAAAGACTATTTTTACAACCCTAGATATTCATGCAACTATTACCTTGAAGTGGGAGAAGCCTAGTGAGACCTAACTGAGAAAGAAGAATATGTGATAAAGGAGAAGAAGTACATGTACTTGCTCAAAAATATCCTTGCCGAACCCAAAAAAAAGACCTATATAACTGTCTTGATAAAAACTTACAAAGACCTCCAAGGAATGAGGATCAATAGACTATAGAAAAGGCCTACATGGTAGACAACTGTTTCAAAATCAAGTTTAAAGAACAATTTCTTATTGTTACCTCAAATGATCACATCACAAGAAATTAGTAATATGAAGAAGAAGAAGTCAAAGTATTTTTAGCCACCATTTGAAATGAATTGAAACTTGATGAGAAATTGAATGATGAGGAGTCTGTTCCTAACTACATTCTAGACAATGAGCCATTTGACCCATATGATGATAAGAGATACATTGGCAAACCCTATGAAAAGAAGTAAGATACACAATAATTCTAGAATTAATAGCTCTGAAAACATTCGATAGAGACTAAGCTTTCCTAGATGATAAGCAAAACAAAGACCTGTGTTCTGTAAAAGAAGACAAAACCATGCTAGAAGAAGAATACAAATGACATATGATCAAAGAAATTAATTAGATTCTTGCATAATGCTATTTTGAGGATGTTTCTGCAAATGCTTTTATAAACATCTGTAGCCATGAAATAATGACCACTAAAATAAGCTATTGACCATGGTCAATGGATAAAATAGAGTTACCCAGAAGACTGAAAGTGACATGATGGAAGAACAATAATAATAATAATAATAATAATAATAATAATAATAATAATAATAAAGATATAATAGTTTTCCTCTTAGATAAAATAGAGTAAATTATAGTGACATGCATTACAGACCTAATGAACTTAAGAAAAGTTAGGATGTATTGAAGTGGGTTGTGGGGCTCCAATTAAATTAATGCCAAATTAGTAATATAGTTTATAGAAAGAAATAGAACAACTAAAAAGCTGAACCTAAAACCTGACATTAAAGAAAAATCCAGTTCAGGTAGTTGTGTTCTGGTCTTAAAAAAAATAGAACCTACATTGTATTAACAAGTCAAATGATATCTACAAGACAATTGCCTCTTGGTATGACTAGAAGAGCCTCAAAGAAGAAAGGTAATTAGAATCAGCAAGACACTAAAATTAGAGCAAAAGATACTGTACAAGAAGATAAAAATGAACCTGATCAATTACTAAGAGTAGTGCAAGAACAAGAAATTGATGCAATACTGATGATAGTGCATACTTATCTACTAGAAGAACACTTCAGGTTAGAAGCCATATATAATAAAATTTGACAGATATACTACTAACCTAAAATGCTAAAAGATATCAAGCAATACATTAGGACCTGTGACTCATATCAATGAAGAGACAAAAATAAGGTAAGAGGATTCCTCCACTCCATTCTAGTATTGTTACTATTCTACCAAGTAGGGTAGATATCATATGGCCTCTACCTATTACTGCTTAAAATAAATGTTACATAGTAGTTGCCACCAACTACATAATGAAATGGTCTGAAGCCCAAGTCATCAAATCTGCAGATGCCTCAATAGTAGCAAATTTCCTTTTTAATAAAATTATTTGCTGGCATGGATGTCCAGAAAAGATACTAACTAACAGAAAATCCCACTTCCAAAACAAGCTAGTAAATGAACTCTTGAAAAAATTTTGAATTTGGCACCTGTTAACTATCTCATATTATCCACCAACCAATAGATTAGTAGAATGATTCAACAAGATGTTATGTAAGGTAATAGCAAAATCTATAAAATATGTCACTGATTGGGACCTCATTATTTCTGCCATGTTGTTCACATATAGGACCACCTAGCATTTGACTACAAGAATAACACCCTTTTATCTTATGCATAGTTAAAAAGCCTGACAACCAATGCAATCTGTTAGTAATGGAGAATTGGAAACAATAATAGAATGAGGTGTAGTATTGTTGGAACACCTACCAAAAATTCAGAAAAAAACTGTTATATGATTTCACTAAGCCCAACTACAACAAAAATAGTATTATGATACAAAAATCAAGAAAATGCCAAAATTGTTCATTGGAGATAAAGTTCTTCTATACAAAGCTGCAGATGACAGCACTAGAAGCAGAAAACTGGAGCCAAAATGGAAAGGTCTCTTCTATTTGCATAAGAAATTTTCTAATAATGTTTACAAAATATAAATGCTTGATGGAAAAGTCTTGGTGGTGCTGATCAATATAAGATTGCTAAAAAATTACTATAGTTGACCTACTGACAATGAGGCTTAGAAGATAAAAGTTCCAGACCGAAGGATGACTCCAACAATGTCCTAAAGTAGATGAAAATCAGATTTTAGTACATCTACAGTCTTAATTCAATTCAGGCATTATAGAAGAAAGTGAATAAAAAAAAAATTTTTTTTATTAATAATAATAATATAAGGAAAAAGAAATAAGAAAGGTGGGAAAAAGTAGAAGAGAAGAAAAACATATAAATGAAGTGTAAAAACAAGTAAAAAAACTTAAGAGAAATAATTAAATATAAAACTACATGGAGCTGAAAAAGAAAAATGAGGAAAATTAATCAACAAAATGCACAATTTATCAGAAATTCTAAATAATTTTACTAACTCTGTACCTGTTGATGTGATAGTAACTCCATCACCCTTTACTGAGCTACAAAACCTCATCACATGTTTGACTCTGATCTATCCTTTCTTATTTCAGGCTATACAATACTGGCAATGAATTGAGACCCTGGTCTATGCCTATTATGTTGACTTAATATTTGCCTATAGCACCCCTATACAACAGTGGGCCTTGCAGAACCTAATTACTAAGCACTACTACCTTACTTCTATAAAGGTCTATGATGTATTTGATGGACTAGCTCAAATTTACTAAACCAATATGTTGAAGTTTGGTGATCTTTGACAGCTCAAAACTGAGAAAATAGGCCAGTTGATTGAAGATCTATGCTTTCTTGTTGAACTCAGATTTTAGTTGGAGAAATGTAGAATCTGAATGGGCCCAGATGGACCCTGATTGCTTGGAGGCCATAGCCCAATTAGGAAAAGATTGATCGCATCTGCCGCATTTGTTGTATCTATCATATATAACTAATAGGTCACATTAGTCATATTGGTTGCATGTAATGAATATGATGGATAGTAGTGATTGGTCAGAGTGGGCTTTTAGAAAGCATCAGTTATATGCATTGCAGAATATAAATAAAAATAGATAATTATTAATAAAGGCTAAAAGGCTCTTCAGAAATAATAACTTTTCCTTAGCGAATATATAATATATAATACATTGCTTAAACATTGATAGTAAAATTGCTTTTAAATAACCCCATAGATGCAGCCGCCACTTTGCCAAGAGATACACCCTTAGTAGTTGGC